AAAATAACATTTTCTTTTTATTTTAAAAATATCAATATTTGCAGTAGGCGGGTTCGATAAACAAGGTATAAAAAAAGTCTCGCCCGAACATTTGGTTTTTAGAATCTATTAACTTACCGATTTTGACAATCTTTAGCTTTTGAACTTCTTAGTACTTTTTGATCCAGTTCAGATGAAGTCAGGAAACAAAGTTGTTAAGAATAGATTTAAATGTTGTTAAACAAGTTTCAAGGCTTGAAAATACTGTAAAATATTAATATAAATATGTTAAGTGAATTTCCATGTAAATAAAACCAACGATTATATAATAGCACCAAATTCCATCACATGTAGTAGTTGATGTATTTTGAAATTTTTGTTCTGTGATAAGTTTAAATGAGGTGTTTTGTGCAAGTTTAAATAATGTAGTCTGTTAAGGTGACTCTCAGGCTGCACATCACAAATTCAGCACACAAACAGTTATTAAAGCTGTGTATAATTACTTTGTTAAATATATTAATGAAAGTAGGTTTATCAAATCCAATTAAAATAAAAGAAAATAAAGTAAAAACAAAAAAATAACAAACATTATGCTTTAATTATAGCTGTCATTAGCATAAATATTATCATGGAATTATGAAATCTAATTTTACGTGTACATAATCTAATCCTTACCATTGACCAACTTGTGACAAGTGATGAAATGGAATCCCAATCATATTATATATCTGTATATTACTATTCGCTTTAATAAAGTATTCACTTATTATTATTGTTTTTACAACAAAACTCACCAATTGTTTGCACAAGACCATCTTCAAGAACCGATCAAAATTATTATAAAAACAACATAAAGAAGAAATAAAGAAAATGTTTAACTTCACAATTAAGATCGACAATATACAGTAGGCTGCACAAAGATGTAGGCCTATACTGATATTAAAAATTAAATAAGTGGATATATTTACGTCGTCGTAATCAAATCAGTAAACGATATATTTACATAAATTAAACGACGCATGCGCAGTCATACTTTAACGACTACTAGCATTTTCAGCACTCGATATTAGCGTGGCCTCAAAAGCCGCGGTGATTCCCCCAAGTTCAGCATGGCACTAATACATTTTTTTAAATTTTTTATATTTTTTTTAATTAAATGTACTTAAATTTTCTACAATAGCACAGTATGTAGTTTAATCACTAAATAAATTATTAAATCAAGTGTTAAATTTTCAAATAAAAGTGATACTGTATTATGAGCTGGAAATGTTATGTTCATCTTACTCAATCATTTGATGAGTTCTGTATCTGTCTCTTATACACATCTAGATGTGTATAAGAGACAGGCTAATAATTACATGATAATTACAATCCTCATTAACATACGATATTAATAAATTCTGTAT